AAAAAACTTGGTTTTTTATAAAGCGAATAAGATGACCTACAAAATAAAATCATAAAAGAAATTGTTGATTTTTTTTTTAAAAAAAAGCTTGATTCTAGGGTAATTGGATAACTTAACGACTAACGTTAACACACCCATTGCCAAGATTTAAATAGCACACTTACATTGATTGGCATAAAATCAAGTTATATCTAGGGAAGGCGGTTTTAAGCTCAAACCACAGTTAAAGCAGAATTTCCCTCAAGGGGATAATTCGAAGAATCGCCTATAGAACCCGTCACCATGTCACATGACCACAAGGCTATCACGATTTATCCATTATCTTACTATAATTTCAGTATTTCTAATAAAATAAAAGTTAACTCTTATTCTGTCATAAAATTCAAAAACATGTAGGATTTTAGATTGAATTTAGCCTTTTAAAATATCTCATATTTAGTATAGAAGTTAGGTTAATTATAAATACGAAGTTTTGAAGTCCATGCTAAAAGGATTGTTATTTTAGTTTCTATTTAAGAGGAAATATTAATGCTAACATTCAGATTTTATATAATTTAAAAGCATAAATTAATCTTTGATGACATTACTTAACATTTATAATTTTTTTAAAAAAATGAATTTTAAACAGCATATAAAAAGAAAATGGAAAGAAAATTCTCCCCATGAAAATTATATATATTTCCAATGTACATTTCAATTAAGAGACTGACATTTTAACTTCTAATTGAAAGAAAACTTAACTCTCTTTTATATTACTTTATTCTTACATTTTTAAACTTAAAGTCTTTAATTAAGTTTTAAAGGACTTGTAGTTCTAGTATTGTTCAAACTAAAAGGATTTTAAAGGTAAAATGCAGATACATTTATATATATAACATTAAAAGTGTACCATAATAAAGATATTTCGATGAGTAGAAGGATAATGTAATTTTTGATTTTAGAAACATAATTCAGAATTAAAATGCATTTGTGGCACAAAAATAACTCTACCGTCTGTAGCTGGTTCTTGTACTTTTCAGTTTTGACAATAATATTAAAATACTAATAATAACAAGCTCTTGCATTTGAAAAGTATTTTAAAGAAAAAATAACAGAGTTTTACTAATAACATTCAATTTAATTTCAAATATATGTTGGAATAAGATTTCTTAATAAACATATATGAGGAAAAAGGCGAGTACATAAATATAATGCACTTTCTAAATAGGGTTCATAACTTCTTTTCTAGTCGACTCCCTTATATATATAAATAAATATTTCTATATAGGTTAAATATTTATTTGTAGTTAATTAAAAGTTAATAATGAAACATTTCCAGTCTGACTTATACTCTTTCTGGAATATTCGGTGCTTCAATGATGATGTCTTCGAGAATTTACTAAGTGCATATTTTTTCTGTTATACGATTATCTTCTAACCGTATAACCATTCTTGTCATAATAGAAGTAGCTCCCTATCATAAGCAGAGCAAGCGCCCCCTTGCGACCACCCAACTTCAGTACAGGTCGAGCGAGGAAAAAATATGGTCACTACAAAAATCCGTTCATGATCTTTGTCCTTTAATTTTTCTACTTTTATTAGTTGTTTTTGTGTAACCTAGCAAATTAATAAACAAATGTTACCCTAAAGGTGATTTCATTGAACATCACACTGAATTTACCTCTTTTAATTAAATCTTTAACGTTAAACGGTCTACAACGGGGAATTTCAGGACGTTTCTATGGCATTAGTCTATTTTTTTTAGAATTATTAAATTTTTTTACTACCAATTATGTATCATTAAATCCTTAATTTATATTATTGAGCTCTGAAATACAACTTTTATATGCCGCCCTCCCCCCGGTGTTCATGTGACTTTTGTTGGGAGGGCACGGCTGGTTTGCTTAGTTGATTTGTCGCTGGACTTCTGCACCAAAGGTTGGGGGTTCTATCAAGACCCAAGTAGGTGGATTTTCCTGATGTAGAAAATAGACAGCGGCCCTATCGTATGATTATGCGGCAAGTAAAAGATCCCTTGAGTGCATTTTTGGCTTGAGGGTCTCTCGGCAAAATTAAATTTCTAGAACAAGCTCTCGTATCATATATCGTCAGAGCTCAGAAACCCCTTTGAGGAAGAAACTGGGTGTCAAAATTACCTGTGGTAATTGGTATCGCCTATATTGTGCCGCACTCAAAAGTAATACCAGCTCCTGGGGAATGTGCTAGGTATATAATGGTAAAAATACCAATCCGCAGCCTCATTGAAAAAAAACCTTTTGTTGGGAGTGAATGAGCATGCGTTATAAAGTAACAATTCGGTGATGGGCATCGCAGTTTTGAAACTCGGTCGCGTGACGAGGATAATACTTGAGCTGGCACCTCCTCTAGACCAACTAACCTAACCAACGGGAGGCCTTAGAGCAGTGATTCCCAAATTGGTCTATATGGACCCCCAGGGTTCTATGACGACCTGCAAGGGGTTCATGTCAGTGAAAAAATAATTTGGGGGTCCATAAGGTGTAAATGGGGGTCTATGACCATTTTATCTCATTAAACCAAATCATGATTTTTATTTTAAAAGAAAATTTAGTGAAGTGGGGAAACCAAATTTATCTATTTAATAGACTTTTTAACTAATTTTAATAAGGTTACTTTGCAGTTACAAGTCGACTGCATAAATTTTATTAAAACAAGGACCATAGACATACCTGTTATTTATCACGAATTATGGAATATCGTGAGAAAATTTTTAATTACTTTTCCTAGTGAGAAGTAGTTTCAGCGTGGTTGCCAATCTCCAAAACAAAAAAGAAGGGGGAGGGGGAGGAATAAGGTCTGGACACTACTAACCGAGGAGATTCCGGGTTAAACCTGACACGATTAATTCCAAATATTGAAAAATCGTTAGTGAAGCACCAGATTTATTCCTCCCTTTAAAAGCAGTTATTTGTTGCTTAGTTATATATATTTTATGTATTAATTAAATTCTAATTTAATTAGCATGTGTTTTTTTTATTTTTAAACACCATACTTGATTTCAGCTAGAAATTTAAATCGCTTAAAGTAAGTAGATCTTTACCAGCTGTCAAACAGACATTAAAATTAGCAAAATTGCAAAAATCCAATAATGGGTAAAGAGGGGTCTACCCCAAACCGAAAAACATGGCAAGGGGTCTATGAGACAAAAAAAATTGGGAACCTCTGCCTTAGAGCCACAAAAGATTCGATGTGCATCAGCCCTCTCAACACGACAAATCTTGACCTTTTGTTTGGAAATGCTGTGCTAGAGAAATACGTAAATAAATAATTGTTCTCCTTTTTTAACGTCAAGTAAAATTACTTTCGTGAAAGAAAAATGGCATAATAGGTAATGGCTTAACAAAATAGCAAATAATAGCTAAAAAAATAGCAAAAGCTTTTTCAAAAAAGTATAAGTTGTATTTCTCCGAAATTTTAAGCCCAGCTTTTCGAAAGAATTTAAAATTATGTGTCAGAAACGTTCTTCGATAAGGGCTTTTGTATTTCCTACTGCCTGTTTTGAAAACACACTATCTACAGTATCATACATCTATTCTTTTTCATCGCATTCTTTTCTGTGAAACTTCATTTCCCTAGAGTCCAAGTATTTTCTTAAGCGGATCTAATCTTAAAATAGAATTTTTAAAACTGTGGAACATATTTTTCAAAAACATTTGTTCTTTTAGTACTTTAGTTTTTTAAAAATAGGTAGAATACAACCACACACACACACAGTGATATTGGTTAAGCTTCATGATTTAAATATTATTCATGAATAATTGATTCATGAATAATTGAATAATGTACATAATACAAATTTTATTTTTCAACCAAACGAAAAATAAACAGGTAATATAAAAAAAAATTAAGTCAATTGCTACTTAGGTCAACAAATTTTTTTTATTTTAGTTACTTTTAATCAATAGTTACAATTAATATAAACATGTATACAGGGTGTCCCCGAATGCCGTGTACAAACTTGGAGGGGTAGTAGAGAACATCGTGAGGAGCCAAAATTACATAAGAAAGCATGGGCGGAAATGTAACCCTAACGAGATAAAGAGACACAAAGACAGTAACGCCACAACACAAAATGTACTGCAAAACGCTTTATTAAATAAAAAACCAATAATAAATAAAAAGTATGATGTGAAAGAATCAGAGGAAGTGTTCGAAATTGCGACCATTGGCATGTATGCACGCACGGCACCGACGCGACATGGATTGCCGAACATCTTCGAAAACACTGTGCATTTCACGGATCCTAGCAGCAGCGATGGATATCCGTGCGACCAGGTCCATTTCGGAAACGACAAGCGTGTCGTACACGAGGCCCTTCATAGCACACCAGAGAAAAAATACAGAGGGGATAAATCTGGGGATCTAGGAGGCCAAGCGACGGGACCACTACGCCCAATCCATCTGTTTGGAAATGTCCGGTCTAAAGGCTCACGTACATGTCTTGCATAATGAGATGGCGCTCCGTCCTGTTGAAACCACATGCGGCGCCGAATAGGTAAGCAGTTCTGGAAGTACCTCCTGTAGAAAGACGAGATACTTGTGAGAGTCTAGTCGAGGCGGTAAGATGTATGGGCCGAGTAAACTGTCACCCACGATACCCGCCCACACATTAACAGTGAAGCGTTGTTGCATGGCTCGTGGTCGGGTGCAATGTGGGTTATTTAAGGCCCACATGTGCGCATTGAACCTATCGCTTTCCGCCCATGCTTTCCTATGTAATTTTGGCTCCTCACGATGTTCTCTACCACCCCTCCAAGTTTGTACACGGCATTCGGGGACACCCTGTATATATATATGACAGAATCACACTATTAAATGACAAAATAGAGAAAGCTATTTTCCTTACAATTTTCCATTTTCCTTTCTACATAGGGTGTTGGACTATTTTTTATTTGTTTCTATTTATTCATTAGTCACAAATTTTATTATTATAATAAAATAGAATAGTGAAAAAAGGAAGCACATTCTGAGAAATTAGGCCCCGTCCCAGGTAGAATTCGAACCTACAACCTTTGTATTAGAAGTCCAACGTGCTATCCATTGCACTACAGGGATACCATTTTACCAAAAGAGTACCATTTTTATATATACTGTTAGACTATTATTTTACTTTGTTACTATTTATTCATTTTTCAATTTAATTAATGAATTAATATTTGAAAAAACTGTATTTTAACACCAATTGTCATCCACTATAAGTTTAAAAAAATCTATTTGAACTTCAATGGATGAATAGAAAATATTTTATTAACGATTGAAAATTTGAAATAAATAAAAGGGAGAGGAGTGATCTAATAGTAGGAATTGAAAAATAAGTATAAATAAATCCCGACTCAATGGCTCTACCAATAGCGCCATTTAAGTATACCTCTAAAATCTATGTTAAAATTTTAAGTTCGGTTCTTTTATAAAAAAAAGGGCTTGACTCTTCAAAGAATATTAAAAACAATACACTTTTTTTAAAAAATCGTACGAAGGGTTTTAATTTCATGAAGATTTAGTTCCTAAAACTAAATAGTCCTAAGCAATTTAAAGTGAATTTTTATTTTAAAAACATGGATCCACAGATTTAACGTTAAATTAGTGCTATATACGTAGGATATTCACTATTATTCATTTTCATTCGGAAATTATAATTTGATTTTGTTCTATGGATTCGACTGAAAATTCCGATTAATCGCTATTTTCTCAAAGTATCGTTTGGTACATAAGTTTTATATCCTTCAAAAATTTCTCATCGATTATGTTTATTTGAATGAATTCATTTTCTTTTTCATAATAACTACATCCGTAATTCTAATTTCTAAATAAAAATACAATGCGATTATAATGGAATTATTTAAATGGTGAGTGAAGTATATTCAAAAACTTGCGAATATTTTTAATTTTGCTTGTCGTCCTCACACCTTACAACAGATCTCAAAAGAATAAAACCAGAAGCAGAAGGAAATGTAATTTATCTTTTCTCAAGGGCTGATCTGTTGTTCTTTTGTGTGCGGTAAAAGTTTCCGAAATTGTTGTTTTTTTCAATCAAAATATACAGTGAACTGAAGTGAACTGCATTTTCGAATTTTCGACTTACAGAAGTTGTGAGATGCAAAAAAGGAACTGATATTTTGAACAGCGTGATCAGTGGTGTAATGGAGAATTTCACGCCCCCTGCAAACTCAGGTTTTGGGCTCATACTTTGTGTCAGCCAAGCTTTGGGCCCCCAGAGACCATGTCCCCCGGCAATGATGCGGGGGTGTACGTTACGCCATTGAACGTGATATACATAGTTAGAGGATTTACACAGCTATTGTAGTTGTGAAGCAGATTTAATTCTGAATATGACATCTGTGGATTTATAATAATTTTTAACTTCGCGAATTATTTAAGTAATATAATAGGATGAAAAACTTTTCCTTTTCATCCTATGAGCATTTGTTCAAAAATAAATACACGTGCGAAGTAAAAAGCTATCAAATGTCACTTTTTCCCAAGAAAGTTTTGCTACTTCTTTCAATTTTAAAGAGTTATACAAAGAAAAATTTTAATTTCTTTTTGTTAAAGATTAAATTTTGGGAATAGGGCATTGGGGAAGGGATTGGAAGAAATGCAGTTCAATTAATTTTTTTAGATAATAGTTAGAGACATTTTTTAAAAAATTTAGTATCTAAAAATGCATCTAAAGGAATTATTTCTAACATTTTTCAAATCAATCAGATATTTTGAATCCGTAAACATAGCTGATTTTTAAAGAAATTATAACTACTGTATTTATTTGAATGAATACAATAGACACACAGAATACAATAAATACAATCACATTGGAAAAGAAAATATGAATATCTTAAAATTATACTTTTTGAAGAATTCAAAGTACGAAAGTAACTCTGAAACTTTTTTAGATACATGCAGACGAAAAGTTGTAAAAAAGAAGACTTACTGTTTATATATCTTTATATATAAAAATCTTCTGTGCGTGTGTTTGTCACTAAACTCCTCCTAAACGGCTGGACCGATTTCGATGAAATTTTTTGTGTGGGTTCAAGTAAATTCGAGAATAGTTTAGATTCACAATTCGGTCCGATATCACAAGTAGTTGAAAAAGTATTAATTAAAAACATTCAAATAATACAACTCAATATTCACCTGCATTGTTGTAACAACGCTATTGTTATAAACAAGTAATAAAAAAAATTTAATCAATTCCTACTTAGATCAACCAAGGAAAAATTTATTTTAGCTATTTTTTATTAAATAGTTGCAATTAATATAAATATGTATATACATATGACAGAATCACAACACTAAGTGGAAATTAATTTTTATTAATTATCATTAAAGTATTGTATTGTCAACCAAAACAATCGTGTATAGAAAATTTCCTTTCAGCTGAATGCTTTATTTAACACGTGAAATAAAAAACCTCTTTTCAAATTTTGACATAAGTCGCCAAAAGGATCGCTGTATTTGAATTTTTTAAATAATTAGTTATAATCAATTAATTTTTATTAATTATAATTAAATTATTGTATTGTCATCCAAAATAATCATGTATATAAAATTTCAGCTCAATGGAGCGCTTTAAAATGTATTTTATTAACGTTTGAAAATTCCACCAAGATAAATAAATAAATAAACAAACAAAATATGTATAGAGATCGTAAACTAATAGTAGGAATTGAAAAAGACGTAAGTTGGCGTCGAAAATTGATTTTCAGCCAAACTGGCCAAACCCGGTTTTTATTGTTACGAAAATGCAGACGCGATTCACGCTTTTTATAAAAATTTATATATGTAATTCTTCAGTACGTGTGTATGTAACTGAACTCCTCTTAAACGGCTGGACCGATTTTGATGAAAGTTTTTGTCTGTTCCAGTGGACTCGATAATGGTTTAGATTTATAATTCGTTTCAGAAATGTTTATTTAATTAATTTTTTTATTTAGAAAGTGTTGATTTTGGAATGTTTTACATTGGATCCGGCAGATTGCGCTAAGATCGCAGTATCGAATATTTAAAAATCGTTTATTATAATTCAAGTTGGTTCCAGCAGTTGGTGCTGTGATCATTTCAGGAAAATATTTTGTCACTTCGTATTATTATTTTGTTGAAATATATATATATATAAATCGTGTGTTTATTAAGTTATTACATTCAGATGTAATTAGTGTTTGAAGAGTTTGAAGTGTGCATAAAAAACTATACATTTTATGTACAATTTAATAAATATACCTGTTATAAATAAGTTTGAGTCTCAACTTTTTCGGCTTTAATTAAAAAGAGTTTAAGTTTTTATTCACACAGCTTTACATTTAACTCCGCTCATAGTATACACATACTCACCCACTATCAATTGATTGAATTGTGATAACCGTACATGTGTAATGACGTTAGACATTGTAATAACTTTTTAATACAAATTTTACCAAAACGGTCCAGATTGTTAAAGCTTATTCATATAAATTTGGAATTTTTGAATTTAAGATGTATGTACAGGACAACGTCTGTCGGGTCCTCTAGTATATATATATATATATATATATATATATATATATATATATATATATATATATATATATATATATATATATATATATATACATATATACATATACATATATATATATACATACATATATATATATGTATGTGTATATATACATATATATATATGTATATATATATGTATATATATACATAAATATATACATACATATATATACACTGGTGTGCAAAAATTAAGGACGAGACGGTTTTTTCAATATAACTTTGTACAAAAGCTTTCCAAATCAACACATTTAATACCGTAAGATCCCCAATACGTAAGGACATGTGTAATATGTAAGCAACACTTACTAAAAGAGAAATCAGAGGGATAAAAAGAAGCTTTATTGAAAAAGTAGCATGGAACGCAATGCGACTGAAGGCCGAAACATCCCTGTGATGGGTGTCCAGCAAGAAACATCCGGTCTTTAGTAGAGGATATGATCTCCCCTGACTGCTAGGCAGGTTTCACAGCGTCTGCCTATGCTGAGAATGAGGGTGTCAATGAGTTGTTGAGGCATTGCTGCCCATTCGTCTTGCAGCGCCAATCGAAGCTCCCGAATCGTTACTGGTGGTAAGGTACGAGCTGCCAAGCGTCTGCCTAGAAAATCCCATACATGCTCGATGGGATTGAGATCCGAAAATCGTGCTGGCCAATCCATACGTTCAATATCCTCACTCTCTAAGAGCTGTTCGGCAGCTACTGTACGATGACATGGTACATTGTCGTCCATGAAAAGGAACTGCAGACCCATAGCGCCTCTAAAAAGACGCACATATGGAAGAAGAATCACGTAACAATAACGGGTCCCGTTGACTGAACCTGCGTCGAAGATGTGAAGGTCTGTACGACTACCAAGCATGATGCCTCCCCAAACGAGAACACCGTGACCTCCATACCTGTCCCTTTCAATGATGTTCGAGGGATGATTGCGGCTTCCCCGCTCTCTCCAGATGAGTATGCGATGAGAATCGCTACTCAAACTGAACCTGCTCTCATCTGTAAAGGGTACTCGTCCCCATTCATTGTCTCTCCAATTCCGGTGCTCCCGGCACCACAGAGAACGCCTTCTCCGATAGGCAGGCGTTAAAGGTACACACCGTACAGGGCGTCGTGCAAACAGACGACCACCGTGCAGTCTTCTGGCCACGGTAAATATATCGGTCGTCCAGTCGCCTGTGTCGTGTGTCCAGCGATTTCTCCCGCTGTCTGCCGCCTGTTTCTTCTGGCCTGTAAGACAATGTACCGGTCATCTGCGGGTGTCGTTCCTCGTGGACGACCACTACTGAACCCCTCAACACTGTTCCTGTAGTTTGAAATTGTCTCCAAAGTCGTGAAACAATGCTGTGAGCAATTCCGAATTCTGCAGCCACACTTGTCACACTGCGGCCTTCCTCCAACTTCCCAATGATTCGACCTCGGGTAAAAGCATCCAGATGTCGTCTAACAGATTGATTATTCACCATTTCTCGCTGAGGCAGCAACTCGGTGTGATTTTAACTGCTATACGGCGTGCAATCTC